ATACCTCTTTAGAAAATCCCATTCTAGGTATACCCATAACCGAAAAGGCCCTAAATACTTATAAAAATCAAATTATATTAACATGTGGAGAAATAAATAAAATAAAATGCAAAAATGAAAAAATATTTGATAATAACAGATTTTATGTTACTTTACCCCAAAGAAATATTGAAGAAAGTATTTTTAAATTTGTAAAAGAATATATAGATCCCAAAAAGACTTATGCTTTGTACTTTAAAGAAAATATTTTACCAGAAACATTTGTAGTAATAGTTCAGAATTATTTTAAAAATTCCGCTTTTAAGTTTGTACATTCTACAAAATTTTTAACTGACATAATAGATACTCGGGAACAGAAAGAAACATTAGAGTATTATCACATACACAAAAAAGGACATCGCGGTATAAACGAAGTAAAAATGTCCTTAGGATCACGTTACTATTGGCCAAAAATGGCAGAAGATATCGAACAATTTATAAATAATTGCGAAACTTGTCTTAAAAATAAATACGATAGAAATCCTCCAATTATAAAATTTAGTCTAACTCCCACTGCATCAAAACCCTTTGAACATATTCATGTAGATGTCTTTAAAATTTCTAACCAATCATATTTAACGATTATAGATTCATTTTCGAGATATGCCCAAGCATATCCTTTACCTAGTGTCAATGGCACCTCCGTAGTGGAAAATTTACTTCTCTTCGTAAGCCACCACGGTTTACCTTATAAAATTACTGCCGACTGTGGCACAGAATTTAAAAATAATGACCTTATAGATTTTTGTAAACTTCACCATATAGAACTACATTTCACAACTTCTAAAAATAGTAATTCCAACTCCCCCGTAGAAAGGTTTCATTCTACACTAATAGAATGCTTTCGCTGTCTTAGAGAAGAAAATAAAGAATTAACTCCTAACCAATTAATAAAACATGCTATTTTAAGCTATAATAATTCAATTCATTCCATAACTAAGTTTACCCCATTTGAAATAATAAAAGGACACATTAATAATCCAGATCCTTTCGACTTGGACGATAACCTTATTTTATCATACTATGTACAAAACCATAAAAAAGTAAGTAAACAGTTATACGAAATAATAAAAAGTAGAAACGAAAAAACGAAAGAAAAAATAATTAATAAATTAAATGAAAATCGAAATGACCCTCCAGATTTCTCTAACCAGGACGTTGCATACGTCAAAACAAAATTGCGCGATAAAAAGGCACCAAAATTTAAAAAGACTGAAGTAGTCCAAGATTCAGGCCTTATCTTACAAACTAATAAAGGAAATTACCATAAAAATATAATTAGAAAACCCAAAGTAAAACAAAAAATATCTTTTCAGGAAAATGAAAATCCGGACAACGTGGTTGCTCCTGATATTCCTGGCACTCCAACGGAGATGTGAAGGAGAAGATGTAAAAATTACTTCTATAACGAATCCTTTGTTACCCATATTATTAGGACCCTGTAAAATTATTTACACTAAGCATACCTTTTTACACTATCTAGATTTAAGAGAAGTAACTAAACAGATAACTAGTTTAACTAACCATTTTTATAGCCTTAAGAATAGTCTAATAGTAAGTAACGCTTCTAACCCTATATCTTTTCATAACTTAGCTGAACAAATGACAAAAAGAACCGAATTCTTAATAAAAATTCTCGAAAGAAAATTCGAAAATTTACATCCACATATTCGCTCTAAAAGAGGTTTAATAGATGGAATAGGCAAAATTAATAAATGGGCTTTTGGAACTTTAGATGCTGACGATGGAGAACGATACGATAAAGCAATTAATATTTTACAACTAAATCAGAAAAATGTAATTCATGAACTTAACCTTCAGTCAACTTTGTACAAAAAGCTTGTTAATCATTATAATCAATCTTTATCAACCTTGTGGCAAAATCAACAAAAATTGCAAGACAATATAGAAAAATTTAAATATTCATTAGAAACCAAAATAATCACTTTGAATAATTACATAACTTATCAAAGTATTCTTTACCAGATTAATCTTGATTGCCAAAATTTAATAACATTTATTGACAATATTGAAAATTCGATAGTTTTCTCTAAATTAAATACTCTTCATAATTCAATAATATCTACCCAAGAAATCTCAGAAATGATGTCATATTTATCACATATATACAAAGAAGAACAAATCGCAAAATTTAACAATGCCCTAACATACTATCTGTTTCTCAGTACCCAAGTAACCTTTTACGAATCCAAGCTTATATTCGCTATCCATGTTCCTATATTCAAATCAGAAAATTACGATTTTTTCCATGTTTACCCCGTAATACAAAATCATCAAACATATATTCCTTTATATCCCTACTTGGCAAAAGGAGAAAAATCACTATCGATAAAAGAAGAATGTCCCATCCTCGAAACCAGATACTACTGCCAACAGGACTACACCCAAATAGATACCTGCACCTATAAATTAATTGATGGACGTAACCCAGAGAAATGCTACGCCACTGAAATAAATCTACAAGAACCCATTATCGAGCACGTCATGGAGAACCAGATCTTAATAATCCCATCCAGTACTGTCAAATTAATCTCAAAATGTGAGTCCAATTCGTTTTTGGAAATAAAAGATCCTTCGTTAATAGAAATCCCACCAAAATGTGAAATAGAAGTTGGAACCTTAAAATTTTCAAACAATCCACGAATCCAATCTGGAAAAATCATAATATTACCAAAACTAGAAAATTTCTCGACTGAAAAGGTAAAATATCAAGTAACCAATTTGAGCAAAATCGATATGGAAGGACTATACGAAATTAACAGAATTACCAGAAATCTTTCACCAGTAGAAGAAATTGGCTTTCCAACTACACCCTTTATCAGCACCGGTTCAGTCATCTTATCTATATTAATACTAATCGTTATAATTTACATCATCACCAGATACCGAAAGTATTGCAAAAATAAGAAGGTTCCTGACGAAATTCCATTGGAAGAAAGATGTCCCCAAAATTTGGAATCCAAAAATACCTCCGTTATTTTTTCCTCTTAAGGATGGAGGAGTTACATGGTACAAAAGTCCGGACCTGACAGAATCGCAACCAACACCTGCAACTTACTCTGCAGTTTCCCCTCGAAGTTATCATATTGTTTCTTTAATTATTCGCATTGTAAAATCATTATTATTCTTGGTCTTGTTCAGTTTAGATGTATTTATTTGTAGCTTAGAAATAAAAATATTTTTTAAAAAACAAATTTCATTTTTGAAATTTAAAATTACTCTTATTCTCCTAATCACCATTACAAACAAATACACTACACTAAACTCTCTCTTAACGGACACGTCTCTTCACCGGACACCTCGATACAGACGGTTTTTCAAACTAAAATCAGTCGGCGATTTATGAAACTGTATTTAAATTTTCGTTACTTTTTAATATCTGTAATGACTCGGTACTTTAACTATCAATAGCCGCCATGTTATACCCGTTACTTTCGGAACTTTTAAGAGTATATCCACTCAAAGCAAACAAAAAAATAACAAAGTGGAATACCAGATTTTTTTTCTGGTTTCTGAACCATCCTTCTGCCAAATTCTTTTTATTTATATTCAAAATAATATATTTCTTTTTATTACCGTTGTAATACCTAATAAAATAATAAAGATACCCGGCGCGCCTCTTTGGTGTTTACATTTCACCGAAATCCAACCCAAATGGCTGATGAACACATTTTAACTTCATAGAGGTCATTGTATTTATTTGTAGGAGCGCTACGTAAATTTTTTTGTTATTTTCGGATTAATTTTCACAATAAATTTTGCGTCTATCTGAACATCTACTAACTGGAATAATTTTAGTTTATATGTCATAGTAACAGAAGATCCGTTTTTATGGAATAATAATTAGACCAATTTACTTTCATACTTCTACTTGTACAGTAAAATATTCGTTGTAGCAATAACTCCAAACAGTCTTATATTCGTGGAATAACATATACAGAGAGGATAGGTAATACGATAAAATAGTAAAAGCCAAACTGACACTGACGGTTTAAGATGTTTTCGACTAACCCACCTTGTATCTGGGGGAATACAATACAGCGGTCAACCTTATAATCCGATTACGAAGGTATTTTGGTTACAGATGACCGACCAGTGTCGTAGAGTATATGATTCATTTTTTTGAACTAAATAAATATATTTTTTAAATTGTATTTTTGTTTGTAATAAAACTTCTTTATTTTATTCAAAAATAAAAAGTTTCTTGCCATTTGTACAAGATACATTTATTTAATTAAGGGGAAAGGCGCCAAATACCGCCTGGCAAAATTTTCAATGTGTTTTAAATATATCCATTATTTTCGAATCCCGAGAAAACTAATTAATATTTTTGAAAAATTTAGACGCAGAATGAAAGATTACAGTACTACTGTGGGAAGAAAGTTCCTTAAAACTTGTACAATTTTTATTTTAATATGTTATGTAACAGGGGTGAAAATAAAAGAGAAAATATAGTATAATTTTTAATTGAAAATATTGCATGCAAAAGAAACTTTTTATTTATTCTAATAAATATTTCATTCTGCCTTTAAATTTTTTTTTTCAAAAATGCTTTTTAGTTTTCTTAGGATTTGAAAAAAAAAATGGATACATTTAAAACACATTGAACAATTTGACAGGTGACATCTTGCACCTTTCTCCTTTAATACCTTACGATTACAACTACTAATACTTACCTTATATAATTACGATTAGAAAACTATTCAAATTCAGAATAAATAGGATCAACTTCGGAATCCCGTCTTTAGGGTTAATAATTATAGTAGGTTTGAAACCGAGTTAAAATTGATTAGTTTAAATAAAATCAACAATATATTGACTGATATATCACTGATATATCAACAATATTTCAACGATATACGAAACAAACTCTATGTCTAATGAATACGCCTAACTTTTTTTAAAATAGGTTTTAGACACATTTCTTTTTATACCTACAGGTGGAAATTGACGAGTTTCAAAACTATGAAAAGGCTTATGGAGCTCTTACAGAAGCTTCCCGATGTTTGCAGAAAATAACAGAACCCAGAGATCCTAAGCAAATACAGAGGGCAGCTGATATTGTACAACAAAGAATCACGTTGGTAAAGAGATTTGTTGATATTAGAAAATTGTTCGAAAGAGGCGATGGGCAAACCGGTAAGAGATTTTTTTATTTGTAGATCTGTGTGACGAAGAATAATTGTTTTCCAATACGGCTTTGACTGCTGCAACATTGACGGTTTTCCAACACGTGAATAATAATTGTTCTTCTTCTCGTGGCGCCGTCTCCTTTCGAAGGTTGGCGATCCAAATGGCAATTGTGGTTTTGGAAACTGCTGCATGAAAGATTTCTGCTGATGAGCGGTCGAACCATCTCCTCAGTTCTTTCAGCCATGAGTTCTGGCGTCTTCCTACTAATCTTTTGCCGTGTACTTTTCCTTCTGGTATAACTTGAAGTAATTCATATTTTTTGCCTCTCAACACATGACCCAAGTATTGCATTTTCCTCTCTTTGTTTATTCTTAGTAATTTTTTTTTGTTTACACATTCGACGAAGTACATCAACATTAGTAACTCTTTCCATCTCTCTAGTTTGTCTTCTATATCTATAATTCTTTCGTTATTATCATTTTTTAATATTGTTGCTTGTCTTTGTGTCTACCTGTCATTTCTTTTACTTTTTTATGAATATTAAAGGTGTCGTATTTTTCCTTAAGTTGTTTCACTGCACTTTCTTCTAATGATTTTATTAATTTGCTTGTATTCTATTCTGCTTGTTTTATGTTTTCGTCTTACGTCCATGATCTCTTGCGTTATCTATTCTTGTTGTTTGTTGTGTTTTATGAACCCGATGTCTTCTTCTTGTATCTTTGTTATTTTTGTTTGTAGAGCAGTCCATGTCACTTCAATGTCTGTATGTACCAAGTTTTCGATAGTTTTTATTTGTTCCTCAAGCTTGATACTTATTTCTTTTTTCTGTTCAGGGTTCTTCAGTTGTGAGATGTCTATTTTTCTTGTCACTATTTTCTTTTTGACTTTGAGAAATCTTTTTAATCTAAAATCCATTATAACTGGACTGTGATCGCTATGGGTATGTTTTCGTAGATTGCATGTACTTCTTAAATGTGTTATTGAGCAAAATCAAGCCAATTTCATTTCTAACAATTCTGCCTTTTCTGTCTGCAGGGGATTTCCATGTGTATAGCCTTCTAGGATGTTGTTTGAAAATGGTATTGGCTATTAACAGATTGTTTTTTACGCAGAATTATACAAGTCTATATCCTGTATTATACCTGGTACCTAGACCGTATGTCCGGGAAATTCTAAACGTTTAAAATTAAATAGTACGTTCGTTGGAATCATAAAGCTATTGATGATGATGGTATTAACATATTAACGCTGCAACTTTGTACTCCATTTCTTCTAACTTATATCACGCATATCAATAACTTTTGCTTAACGAATTCAATTTTTCCCACTAAATGCAAACGGGCACATGTTATTCCTTTGCCAAAGAATAAAATTACACAAAGCATGAATGAATTAGGACCAGTAAGTGTACTGCCTACAAATATCTAAAATTTTGGAAATGGGGATCGATATTCAGTTACAAACGCATTTAAAAAATAAAGTCTTAAGTCCAGATATAGCTGTCTTTCTGTGAGGGAGCCTTGTAACTGGCTACCTACATCACGAGAGTTGGAAATCTTTTGATTCCAAGTCTTACTTCAAAGGACTTGTGAATGGATGCATCTCCATAGGTTTGGTTCTTCAGTGACCGTTGAAGGACAAGGATTCTTAATGTGAGCAAATATAGCTCCAGAGAAATAAAATCACCTTTGAGTTTATCGATTTATAATTAAATATTTTAAGAGTAGAGAGGCCCAACACGGCCGTAACTTACTATACAATATGAAATGTACTCTTTCTTTATAACACGTAAAAGAAACACCGTTATGAGAAAATGCCCGATTTCGGCGGAGAAAAATATCTAATACGTGAAGTTCTTAACTACTCGCTGTGATGGCTCCAGGGCCATGTGTAAACTTGAACTGAGCTGATAAAAACCTACATAATGCGTAAACGGGAAGATTACCCTTATTTTATGTAGGTGTGAAAAATATTTAACAGGGTCCGACGTCAGACGCCAGGGTGTCGCGTTCAAACGATCAAGTAACTGTTCTAGTTATTCTACACTAAGAAAAGTCAAAGAATTACATTTTTATTTTATATTTTAAAAACAATGTGTTAATTTCTGGAACATTCTCCTTTATTAAATATAACAGATAATATTTTTAGAGCCTATAACCAAAACAAAATATCAATTCTAATTCTTTTAGCCTACTCAAAAGCTTTTGATACAATTAACCATAATTTGTTATTTTCTATTTTAAAATATATTGGTCTAGAAGCGAGAGCAGTTGATCCGATGAAATCCTATCTTTCTAATAGATGTCAAGCAGTAAAACTTAATCAAAATATTTCTTCATTTCTAGATCTTAATACTGACGTGCCTCAAGGATCTATGTTAGGTCCAATTTTAGTCTCTATATACACATCTAATTTTCCCGCCGTGTCTTTGTCCTATTCACAGCATTATTACGCAGATGATATCCAACACTATATATCATTTTATCCAAATGAGTTTGATCAAGCGGTAAATGCAATAAATCACGACCTTCTTTATCTTCAGATTTGTTCTCAAAATCATTATTTACAATTGAATACATCCAAAACTCAGGATATCATATTTGGGAGGAATCTCCATAGGAAAATATTTTTAGAGAATTATGTCAATCTAATTATCTTAGGAAATGAAAATTTAATTTTTAGCTTGGTTTGGTTAGACGAAGATTTAATGTTTACCTATCACGTAAATATTTGTTTACAAAAAGCTTACGCCGTTTTAAAATTACTGTATCGAAGACGTAATTTATTAAGCAGTGGCATCAAGACATTATTAAGTAATGCTCTTGTGATATCAAAATTAAATTATTGTGACATGCTTTACAATGCGTGTGTCACTGAATTTGATTCAAGGAGAATACAGAAATTGCAAAATTCTTGTTTGCGTTTGATTTTTGGCATCAGGAAATTTCAAAAGATAAATCATGTCTTTGCCGTACTCAAGTGATTAAATCCTCTTCAAAATACTTAAACTGTATGAATCTGATAAGAATAATCAACGAAATCCACAAGGAAAACAATTCCTGTAGCTGGCTGTATACCACGTATCACAAAAAAAGAGGTTAATCTTTGTAAGTGGGTATATTTATTTAAAAACCCTTAAAAGGGCTACATAAAAAAACAAACGTTTTCGGACTAAACAGTCCATCATCAGGTTTAAAATCTGCTAGGTTAAAATGCCTGAACCACCAAAATACATGGGTAAAAACCCTTTAAATTACTTATAGTTATCAAAGATTATACATCTTGTTGTTAAAAAACTGTGATGTTCATTATTAAATTAGATATGACTTCAGGTAACATACATTGTAAAAAGTTTTGAGTTCCAGAGCCGGGGAGAAAACCTCTACGCACGGAGAACAGCTGGAAACTCAGTTTCTGAGTTTAAACATAGTGAAAAATTCAGATCATAACAATCTTTAATTGTGGCTTATTCCCAGTTTAATAGTAATTAATCTTTCAGGATGTTTTAATCTCAAAGAAGAATACTGGATATAAGACCCATGTATGTAGAAGACCAGCATGCACCAACAGATATCTAAATTACAAATCAAAGCACAATATAAAAGGAAATCACTAAACAATGATAGAACCAAAATGATCAATCAATTAGAGAATCAAAATTACTTGTTCTAATGAAAATTCTTTCTTAGGGGAAACATGTTCTATCTATTTTAATCTATTCTATTAAAAAATATATTTATCCTTTATCGTTAATTAACAAGGAATTTTAAATAATGGAGACAATGGAAGAGAACAACTGGATTGACAATAGATTGAAAATAGAAGACAATATTTTGAGAACAATTTTCGAAGTGGAAATCTAAATTAATTACTATTTAAGTGGCATAAGCCACAATTAAAGGTTAAAATACGTTTATTGATATTTCAATATGGAAATTTTGAAAATCTAAAGGTCAAAATAATCGTATTTAAACGAATGGGTGGTTAACTCTCATTAAAAATGGTACCTAAATACTGTTAAAACTTAAGCAGATAATTTATTGGTAGTTTATAAAACTTTATTCTCTTAAAATACAAACCCAATATCTTTTTATTTTCAGCAATCACACAATGTCAACAACTCCTAATGACAGCTGGAAATGATTTAGAAGTTGCAGTACGAAGAGGTGATGTTTATTCAAGTATGATCCAATACCTCGTAAAATCCGGTAACTACTCAGAAGCGAAGCAATACTTTGTGGAACTTCGCCATTTATTGGAGCAAAGTGGCAATACTCCTATAACTTATTATATAACTAATGAAGTCCTAGAAGGATTAGCAAATGGTCTTAGCATTCCCGTGGCTCAATTATTGCCTAAATCAACTAAAATGCGTGTAGCGTCAGAAGGAGATGGAGATGATGTAGAAGAAGTCGTTGAGGAATAAATCGTGTCTAGATACACTGTTATAAAAAATATATAGTATGGTGATATTGTTTCGCTCAAAAGACTGACCAACAACTAACAATCTTTGTCAAGTAGTAATAGTAATTAATCTTTGTTAATTAGTAATAGTAATATACTTGAGCGTTAGAGTGAAGTTAAAGCCCTGTCGTTTGATTTATCCTATTTAATGATTCGATAGTAAAGATTCCATGAAAGGCAAGCCACGTAAGTATGCTAATAAAGGAAATAAATCAGTCTTGTCTGTATTCATGTTTATCTTGGGTAAATTATATAAGTACAACCGCAAAAAATTATTGATTTTATGTGTAGTCATAACTACGCTAAAGTTAAAAAATCACAACGGTTAAAATAAAATACAGTAGTCTCTCTTTATAACGATTCCCTATATAAACGATAATTTCTCTATAACGATGAAAATAGTAAATGTTGGTTGGTTCGTTATAAGAACAATGTATTAATTTTTTCTCTGTACCGATATCGTTCTCTCTTTATAGCGATGGCTTTTCAGCGTTCAATAGTTGATGATAAATGTGTTATTGTGTTTAAAGTTCAGACTACCTAAGTCACGAGTGGAAAGGTCATTATTCAGTGGTTGCTTTGTTTTGCGCTTAAGGAATGCGGCCACCCATTCTACTCATTCTTATCAGAGGGTTACGTTATCTTAGACTCGCTTGTATTGTTCGGGCAGCGTGCCTAACTGTTGTCACACAGATGTTGTCATCTATTGACGAAATTTCATTTCCAGTTTGAGTTGTGTCTTAGTGTGTTAACAGTCAATATGTTTTTGAAAAATCGTAAAGTGCCCTGGTGGAGGAAAAGTTATAGATAACTCGAGCAATAGAGAAAAGGTGAAAAGCAATCGGATGTCGTTCGCCATTCGGAGCTATCACAGTTGACTGTGGCTAGGATATGAAAGGACAGAAAAAAGTTTTTTGAACCGGAGATGGAGGGCGGTAGTAGGAACAAGTTGCGGAAACCTCAGCACGAAGATTTAGATCACGCTATGCTTCAGTGGTTCCAGCAGCAACGTATGATCCATATTCCACTTTCTGGGCCTGTGGTCAAGACAAAAGCTGAGTTTTTTGCAAATAAGCTTGGAATTGAGAATTTCACGGCATCTGAGGATTGGCTGAACAAGTAGAAACTGTAGAACAAGATCAACTACGGGCAAATCAGCGGAGAGGAACAAAAACGTAACGAATGATTGGCTAGAAATGTGTGTGGCTTGGACTGAAGAAAGGATATGCGTCAGACGACACTTTCAATGCTGATGAGAATGGATTCTTTTTTAAAATAACACCAAACAGAACTAAAATTTAAATCGAAAAAGTGCGTTGGTGGAAAGCTCTCTATGGAACGCATTATAATTTTAGTGGCTGTTAATATGACAGGTTCGGTGAAGCGAAAATTGTTAGTAATAGGTAATTCGAAAAACCCACGTTGTTTTAAAAACATAAAAAACCTAACGTTGACCTATAAAGCAAAAAAAAGTGCGTGGATGACTTCGAAAATGTTTGAAGAAGCAATAAGAAAGCGGGATATCGAGCTTAAAGGGAAAAAAATTCTTCTGCTTGACAATTGTCCTGTTCATCCTGTACTGTACGACCTTCAAAACATTAAACTTTGTTTTCTGCCAGAAAACATAACGAGAGTCCTTCAGCCGATGGACTAAAGTGTCATCAAGAGTTTAGAAAGCCATTACAGAAAAAGACTTTTAATACAATTAGATGAGAACAATGGTGATCTTAAACTAAACATTCTTGACGCCATTCTAATGATTAGTAAATTTCTGGGACGAGGTGACGAGCAATACAATAAAACATTCCTTCAAACACGCAGGATGACTGAAAGATCAAGGATTGACTGATGATGAAAATGACCTGCCATTAGATGTTCGGGCAAGACATGTTGAACTTACTATCATCTACAGACCGGAAGAGCTGACAGAAGTTGATGAAAATGTAGTTATAAATTGTCTCTGGACATAGTATGGTTTACGTATGTGTAGAGCCAGAAAAGTTGTATTCAAAAGTGCAATAATCTAAATTTCGATAAAAATGGACATAGTGTCCTTTACCGCCGAGGTACGCAAATATAGCCTTAATTTACATTTTTTGGCGCATTTTTTTGCTAATGCAAATTTGTCTAGATTTTTTATAGTGACAGTCTCCTCTATTGAAAAACGCACAAGCTGCCACTGATTATATAATCAGTATATCGCGGATGATTCATATTGTTTATTTGATTTGTATAATGTTATTATACTACATACACTTGTAATTTCTGGAACATATCCTTTAACAGTTGATTTAGCAATGGAAAAAGAGATATCATATCATGTGAACTAAGAAATGATGATTAAAGAGACTCAGGATTATTAATAGCCTTTATCTAAGTTATAATAAATACCAGAAGAACTTAGAACTCCGAACAATCGGATCGTAAACTCTAAACTATACGTATTATTATGCAATATTTTGCTAAGGTTGTATTTCCATATACAAAAAAATCCAATTTGTAGACTGATAAAATTAACACATATTAATATTCATCACCAAAATATATTGCACAATATTGAAACAATTATATGGTATCTATTTTTTGTCGATAAAGAACAGCATCGGAATCTATAAAATTGATTATTTTAATCGTGTAGGTTTACTTAAAATTTTATATAGTCATTCTTACATAAATTTTATTATCATATAAAAAAATCTTCTATCATGTTGATAAATCGATTAAAAATAATGAATTAATTTAATTATAAATTGAAATAATACACTGCTCATAAAATAATTCAGAATGCATCATTATTATTAAGGACAGAAATTTGGCACGCAAAGATGCCACAAAAATAAAGCTAACCGCTACATTAAGATGAGAAAAAATGAAAAAGACAAGGAAACGACGGGTTGCACCGCGTCGATTATTTATTGCTCCTAGATTTCGACATCCTCTTCGATGTGTTCGTCAGAGCTTCCGAGATCTGTCTCCCGAGCCCCCAGACATTACTACACTGATCACTATCTAATGCATTACTGGTACTGGGAATAGAGGACGGTTCATTTATACCGTCGATGGTGACGATTCTGACAGTAGGATTTTGATTGACGAGTTGAGCGGACGATATTTTCTTTATGAGAGCTCTCCAAGTCGAAGGTAACCGTATGCCGTCAATCCTTTTATTGAAACAATTTGGTGTTTTTTAATTTCTATGCATTTTGGATATTTCTTGGTTTATAGAAGTGGATAGGGGCTATGGTTCTGAGTTTTCAAAATCAATTTTGTGATCTGTACGAAGATGGTGTTGACATAGAGCTGAATTGAATCGGAATTGCGAAGAGAAATGGAATGTTCATAAATCTTATTTTGGATTCTACGATTTGTTTGGCCTATATAGGATCGAGGATTGTCTGGACGAGGAATTTTATAAACTCCGTGTTGTTCATTTGGAATGTTGTCTTTGATTGATCAGACAAGAGATGAAAGTTTTTGTTTGGGGGGTAAATGAATCGGTGTCAATAAAAACGTTCCAAGTCATGAAAACCATTTTTTCGGGAAACTGAAAAAAACTGTATAGCTCTGCATTAGTCATCTAAATTAATACCAAAAAATTTGAGAATATTTTTGACA